GGGAAATTTGGTGATGCATAATGAGATAAAGCATTATCTCATTGCACATCAGAAAAAATATAGCAAATTACGGTAGGTAGAAAGAAATCTCTTCTCTCAACATGAGATTCAACTGTGAAAGAATTTCTGAGAGACTTCAGAGGTTTTAACACAAATGCAATCCTAAAATACTTCTTATTAAGAGCGACATTTGAAACAACATCTTGCACACACTGTGGAATTAGAAAGGGGTTCTTTTTCATATTCATATGAATATAAACCTGATGTTTGCTTATATATATAGAAAGAACATCTTGTACCTCTACAACTAACACCTTTTCTACGCTAGGGAAATCTGGCACCTTGAAACACAATTTGGATTCTGTAGCACTTGCATAACGAGCCCCCTCCATAGGCACTTGCAGGAATGCACTGGTGACTGCAGCGCCTCTTAGGAGGTGGCTGTGAGCAGCTATGTGAGACAGCTCCTGTTGTATTTGGCTCTTGCTTCAGCTGGGCACAGAAAATAGGCAAAGTCATTGCCTCCATTAAGTACTTTAGCCTCGACAAAACATGACACCAAACTGTTGATTCTTATTGCAGATCAAGAGAAGCCTTAACCATCACCTAAACTTTCCTAATGCACAGTCAACCTGCTGCATCTCTGATTTATGTATTCATCAAGGGATACAACAAATAAAGGTAGGGATGGAGTCTCTTTAGCAAATGTCCTAGAGGAGAATGTGTGGATTTCTCTCAGGCAGAGATTAGAGAAATTAAAAAAAAAAAACAAAAAAAGTATTTGGATCTTATGCATTTCCAACCAATCTGTTGCCATCTGGGGCCATTGGTTAGGAGATCTCTGGGAATTGCCCTGGGTCACCTTGTTGAGTTAGCTAGTCCTGACACCCACAGTTCAATCATACACAAATATCTGAGCCTTGAAAATGTTATAAAAAATAAGAACTTTCTTGGGAGAGAGGAGATCAATTAATTTTTGGACAACATATCCCTTCAATCACAATATGGACTAATTTAATTGTGCTGTCACAGGACAAGAGAATAATGTGGTAATAATTTCAGAAAAACTTCCATTTTAAAAACAGATGGGAGGATAGTGACTAAATGATTTTTTTAGGCTGTATAGAAAAAGAGTGTTTCGCCCCAACATGCCAGTCTAGAGGTCTAAGCAACATCATTTCTAACAACATCAAAATTATCCCCTTGCTATTTTGAGTGACTAACTTATCTTTGTTTGTTTGGGGTTTTTTCCTTCTATTTTCCCTCCTCCTTGAGCCATTTTCTGTAACACCCTATCTTTACCAGGAAGGAAATATCTATAGCCCACTACAACATTTTATAAAAAGCTTTAACAGTACCCTATGATAGTTTTACAGTTGGGAGGACAAGTAAGCTTGCATTAGAGACGTCAGGTGCAGTCAGGAAACAGGGTTTTAAAAAGTTACTGTGTTCTACAACATTACATCCTGTATCTGGGAACTTAAAACATTTTTGACAGCTGGGTCTCCATGGAAATAAGTACACTAAGACTGCGGCTATTTTAAGAACTTAAAATAAAGGAAGCTGGAAGATTACAGATAGGTACTACATCTGGGGGAAATCAGTCAGGTTTTGGACAATTCATACCCTTCACTTCATGTCTTCTACTTGTACTACCTGTTCTAACTTAATTGGACACTAACAAGAGATTGCAGAAAAAATGTGCCTGGTTTGGCAAGACAGAGTCATGGGCCCAGGGACACAGGAGAAAGCAGCAGCTTGTGTTCAGTCCTAGTTTCACCTGGTTCAGGACACAGGCAGCAAAACCAGTAGAGATCATCTCAAAGGCTTTATGATAGAAAGTAAAAATGAAACAAAAAAGCCATAAGCACAAGACTTATTTGTTAAATTCAGTTTTCTAATGTTCAGATCTGGCAAGCTCCCATAGTTAGCGTTATCAGCTCTACCATCTCAAGGTACGGCTGGTCTTACTATACAGACAAGTGCTGCGCAGTGTCTCACTACTTTTTTGCCCCAGCTCATCTCTACCGCTTTATGTTATTCTCACCTGAGAATTCTCTCTCCTACAGAGACCTCAGAAAGCTCTTTACAGAGCCTTCTTTTGAACATTTTCCACTTGCAAAAAGTGTGGTGGCATTTGCCATCGTTCCTGTCATAGAGAATAACTCAGACTCTTTTTGGAGCCACAAGTGATAATTCATACCCAGCTCTTGAGCTGGGTAAGTAATGCATTTTTAGCATGGGAGTAGTAATGTATTTTTTTCTTCTGGAAACTTGGCAGAGAGCTTTCCCCCAGCATATGCCTTTCTAAAGTACAGGCAAATCAAGTACCTGGATGTTATATTATGCCTTAGTAAGTCCAGTGTTCTCAAATTCTGCTCATCTGCAAATCTGGGCCAAATTTAGGCAGTATTCCCAATTAGGAGAATATTTTTTGCAAGAAGCTATCCTTGCTTTATATCAAGCTTTTATTTTGCAAACTTTGGGGAATACACTTTCTTTTCTACAGCTTAGGGAATCAGTGGATAAACACTAGCATCACAGAAAATCCGAGCCTGTCTCATTATTGAGAAGTTAAAACTTTTTGTAGAAAGCCTGTCACATTTCCATCTCTGAACATACATGTACACACCACAGAATTGGTAGGAACTGATCTACCTCTCCATATTGAGCAGAAAGCTTACCTGCTCCAGGAAGGTTTTACTCCGTGGCCATACATGTTCTTCCGTAATCTGGAACAGAAAAGTGAAACGCTCCCCAGGACCAGTGAAATACCACAGCTATTGAGATATGGGGAATACACAGAGAGGATTCTGTTGAATAAAGCAAGAGAAGTGTAAGCTCACGGCCTGTGTCACTGACTTGTAGGTTAGAGAACCAGGTGTTTCAGTAATGATGCCTTGAAACCTCAACCTGCACAGCAGAAAAACCTCTCTTTTTAAAAGATTTCTACCTTACAGGTTGTCCTCTTCCACACATTCTCACAAGCCTATGCTTGGCCTCTTCTGCTCCACTAAAATTACCGTACATTTGCTATACTAATACAATTAGTAACTGTACCTGCTAACAGGTGCTTGAATTTTTAAACCAGCTGTATCCACAAAGGGTCTGTGCACACAGACAAATGCATCTTCAGTTGGAATACTGCAGTGGCATTGTGACATCTTCGAGTTGGTGTAACACCCAACTAAAGCTGAATCATGTGGCAGGCAGTTCTGAATTTTCAGTAAAGAATGATCAGAAAGGTGACTATTTTATTATTTTTAAGTAATCAACATGGAAACAATAGCAACAATTAAGTCACAAACAGGCATAGCCTAATTGTAACCATGGCATTAATACTTAACATGAACATAACAGAAATTACAAGTATGTTAACATTATTCATTCTCGGTCAATGAACAAAAGTGTACAGTAAGGTCAGCATTAATCTATTAAGAATGCTACAAAACTAGCCGGCCAGTGTCCTTCAAAAGCAGAGTGCTTGCTGTAAGACAGGCTGGAATGACTGCTGTCCATCCCGGCAGGCAGCTATACTCCTAGGCTGCCTATGGACCCGACCTATTCTCCCATTTCTGCATGTAGTTCTGATATTTCCCTTTGTTTGTTAGGGGTACCAAAGCACTCCTGCTAGGGAAAAAAAAAAAAAAAGAGCTACAGTGCCAAGGGCCAGCCCTCACACTCTGTATGAATAATGCATGTATGCAGCCTGGGAGCTCACACTAGAGGTAAAGCTGGCTCCCTTGACAGTGTATGACATTCATCAGTATCTGCTATTCAAACTCCTTTTCCACCCTCCCCTTACTCCTTGCTCCATGGACAGGACATGGTGTTGGAGATGTACCGCTTTCAAAATGCTTTCTTTTACATATCACCCTTTAACAGGAATTCTGTAACACAAAATTAAAATTTTCTTTTGTAGAAAGGGGATTCTTTAAATACACCCTTTCCACCTCCTAGTCCTTATACCGTACCTTCCTCTTTTTCAAAACATTTACTAATGCATGTACTTAACCACCTGCTTCTTAACAGAAGTACCAAAGTGACACTAAGAAAGGCTAACTTGCATTTGGTATTGTGGTTGTGGCTCCTCTTGGTCCGAGCAACACAGGATAAACTTCTCAGCTAGAACATTTTTATAATCACAGAGAGGGATACACCCTCAAAAAAAAAAAAAAAATCCAGTCTTTTTAGAACCAGACCAGAGGACAGCAGTGTGAACAAAGCAATAATCTCCAGCTTTCTTCCCATCAGGATTCCTCCTAGGGTGCCATCTGCTGTATTGTTTTCACTGTAGAGGCAAGAGAAGACATCAGCTTGTCTATTGTCAATTCTAAAAGTTTTGATGGACAAAGGAAGAAAAAACCCTACAGCTTTCTCAAGTGGCCTCTCTTTTTCTCCCATACCCATTTACTAAGCTCTCCCCTACTTGTTCTCATCCAGCTCATGACACTCTGGGGAAAACAAACAAACAAACAACAAAAAAACCATCAGCCCAGAAAAGTAGCTGTGTGATTATTTCTGTAAGGGGTTCAGTAATGTTTTTGGACACCACTGTTCTAACTTGGTGTTTCCCATAGATAACTACTTTCAATCATCATTTTGTTAATTGCAGAAAAGCAAATCTATTAGCCAATACTGTAGATTTGTGCTGTCAGGCCAAGTTTGGACATTCTCAGAAACAATGCAGTATGCACCAAATGAGTAATAACAAAGTAGCTGACTATTTGCATCCCTCTTCTGGCCATCAAGCTTAAACAGTCCAGAAGAAGTTAAAACCATGCAAAACTCAGGCCATGGTTTCACAACATGACATCTTCTGCAGCAATATTACTCTAAGGTACTGCCTTGCATCCCCTGCTCTGCAAGCCCTGCAAGTTTGTGGGACAGTGCTCTGAGCTTGGTTAGGAAATACAGGGCGAGGGCACAGTGATTAAGCCAGTACTACTCTAGTAGTATTCTGCTGTGACACCAGAGTCTAGTAAAACTTCTACCCTGCCTTATTCCAACAAGTAACACACCGGTGTAGTTGTCCTGCTGACTGGTGCTTCTTCTGTCCGATGCTTCCCGGAGTGTGGCAGCTCCAAACTGTCCCGATAGTCTCGGCCCTTGGAGTTCTGCATGTCCAGCACTGCCCGGCTCTTTGAGGGAAGAGGCGGCTTGTTTTGCTGTCCTGGGATGCTTGGGCTGACTTCAGACCTCGATGGCTTGACTATTTTTTTGAGCGGTGCTGAGTTTTCTAATGATGTCATCTTCGGTTTGCTTTGAGTCTTCTCACCTCTATTCTTTTCTTCAGATTGGCCAGAGCAGGTATAGGACCGAAATCGCTGTGTGGGGACCAGGAAAGGTGGTGATGGTTGTTTGCCAGAGGTCTTGCTGCTCTCAGGGTCCTGGGACTTTGTGAGATGACAGCTCTGATCAGGCAGTGGTGGTTGCTCTTTTCGCAAGGCCTTGGGGTAGTCTGTCTCTTTCTTTGATGCCACCTTGCCCTTAGAGCCCATAGAGCCATACAGTGGGTTCTCAAACATCTCTGGCTTTTGCTGTCCCTCCTCTTGAAGCAAAGGCTCTGCTGTGGTTTTCCCCGGCTCGGGCGGCCTGCAGTCATCAAAGCAGCGTAAAAAGGAGACTTGTAAAGAGCAGGCAAGAGACGCTGACTGATTTAAACAGAAAATGAATAGGAAATGAGCATGATGAAATTAAACTGACTGTGCCAAGGGGTAACAGGAATTAAACTCGGGGGGAGAGAACAGAATTGTGTATTGGTTTTACTTCGTTTAATCATTATTAACATGACAGCTGAGAGCACATATGCATGGTACTGTATAAACTCCCTGCTGGACTAGTCTTGTCAGAGTGATACTTGGCTTCTCTTTAAACAGATAAGCTACTGAGCCAAACTGTTCCAAGTGCTTTGATGGCTCTGCAACATGCAAAAATCTGAATTTAAATATTAATAAGAATTCTCAGATCTGGAAGAGAGGATTGAAGTGGCTGTTTGGACAGTTAACATAAAAGCTCACATCACACCGTAGTATTTTACAACTAGTCAATCTCCTCTTGCTACCAATGCCACATGGTATTCCTAGGGAAGGGATAAAACTCCTTAATGCACCCAAATGCACAATATACAAGTAATAGCTATATACTGTAGGGTGAGACAATCGTTGGGTGTTCACAGCTGAGCCCTTTGAATTGAGGCTTAGACTGGAATGACAGCACAGCTGTACAATGGGACAAGGGAGGTTTCGTGGGTTTTGTATGACTCGAGCTGATTTGGCAAGGCTTTAATCTGGAGAACTGCCATGATACTTAAAAGATCAGCCACAGTATCACTGAACAGAGTGGAATAGGGATGAGTGGCACATGCTCTTTAGATGTCTTTGAATGAGTTGTGTTCCTTGCTTCAAGTTATTTTCTGGAAGTGAGGAGCTCAGAGCATGATGAAGTTTTGTCAGGTACATAACAGATTGAGGCAGTGCTTGCAGCTCTGACTTCTGCAAGTTCTGGCTTATGGAGTGCCACGTACATTAACCAGTGAACTCTAGGCCAGACTCAGAAAGCAGCTGTCACTATGCAAAAGAGGTCTGGAACGAGGACACTGATTGCATACACACACTAGGGTGAACGAGCCTCATCACTTTACTAAATTGGGTAGGGACAGGATATTTTCAATTGCTGGATGGAAATTCTGCATCAAGACTTGTGATAGATGCAGCACATGGATGCTAACTTCTGTAGCAAGCTGGACATTTGTATGGTAGCGTAAGTAGAAATGCAGTTAAAGTACTTCACATGTGACATGTGAAGGAGCTCTCCTTCCCATCCAGTGCAAAGATCTCTGCCACACTCTTCCCTTTTCTTCTTTGTTGCTACAGTCAACTCTGTAGTCTTCTCCTTCTCTTTTCTTGGTACAGAATTAAACTTATACATGTCTTTTTTTACTTTCCTGTCACAAAATTCTGAAGAACTACTACACTGTTTTTCTTTGAGTATGTGATGTCTGCATTGGTGACCTTCACTTGCCTTTTTCTAATTCTATAGACATAAAAGACTGAAAAAATACACTGCACCTTGAACTCTCCGTACAGACAATGAAACAGTGATTGTACAGAATGACAGGAGAGAGGGGACTAGCCCCAGTGCAAAACTCAAAGACTCACGGGTACTCTTGGCTCCGACTACAAATGCTTCTGTTTACTGTAGGCTGAAGGGATGCTTTTGGAGATAGAGGCAACAAGCAGGGTGATGTGGAGGATGACTGACTCTGTCCCATCACGAGGGTAGTCTCTTTGGACTGCTGGTCATAGCTCCAGAGAGAAGGTGGCTGGTCTGGTGAAGGTATCTGCTTAAGCTGGCTGGTTGCAGAGGGTTGCGGAGAGAAAGCAGCCATCCCCAGGTAGTTGGGGTTGCTGATGTCTGTGGGAGTGGAGCTGCTGAAGAGAAGAAATATTATTAGGAAGATATATGCACAAATACATTTATTTTTTTGTCTCCCTGCCAGCTACAAAGGAGTTAGTGCCCACTGACTGCTTAGATTCAATACCACCTACTTTTTTTTTTTTTTGGTCACTGTTGCTTCAGAATCAGAGAATAAGTGAGAGTCCTGTTAGTGCCTCCCTCCCCTGGGTCACTGAAGAGGAAGCAGCAGGGTCAAGGCCGCCTCCCCCAGCCCCAGATAGTTCCTCTGGCTGTGGCAGACGCTTCTATTTCCAGGTTGCAGAGAGCACTCAGCTTCTGCAGCCATATACAGGGGGTTTTACAGGTTTCTGGGTCCAGCAGTTCAGCTGGCAGCTGCATCAGGGCAGCTCCAAGAAAGAGGCAAATCACAGCACTCGGCAGCATTGGGCAGCATAGGAATATGCTGCTGGAACAACAGGAGAGACATCTGGCATTTTGAGGTGTACCCATATAGACTAGTAGCAGAAGGCAGGAAGCTGCCTGCAAAGAAATGCACCTGTGAAACTGGAGTGAAAGGACAGCCTTACCCAGAAGTGTCCTGTGACTCTTGGAAAGGAAAAGATAGGCAGTATGAGCATAGCTTCCCACTCCAAGCTGGCAAGGGTAAAGCAGCAAGATTACCGTAAGATATCCTCCTTTCCCAGGTTGTCTGGAGAAGAGGAAGCACTCCCCCAATAGCGAGCAATGGCTGCTGCCTCTCTGGCCATCAGATGAGTAGATTTTGACTTTCTGTTGGAAATATAAGGACCCTTTTTAAGTGGGGTGCAGGGACCCAGTCTGACTAATGCATTCTCAGCTTTTGAAGCTTTGGGCACAGAAGCATTGACCAGCCCTGACCAGAAAGCCACAAGGCAGCTTCCCAGTCCTCACCATGCCTATTATTACCACTCCCACAGCAACCCCAGCTTTGCTTTTATTGAGCCAACAAGTTTTCTTTAACTGACTTACCCACTTGCCCTTTACCTGTTAGTCTGATCCCAGTCCTTGTTAGGCTCCAAGTTGCTGATGTTCTTTGGTTTCTGCCCAGTGATTTCATCACGTTCAATCTTGACAAAATCTGAAGGAATGGGAAGGCATAAAAGAGTGTTTTGGCAGCTTCAGTGTCTGATTCCCTACATTTTCTGTATTACTGCTTGTATTAAGGCATCTCTCTTTGTTTGTAATAATGACAGTGAGACAATTTTTAACAGTTGTTGCTATTACATTTTCAGCTGCCCACTAATACATATCATGTTTTGTTGACGTAGGAAAAAGTGTGTATCTTGAAGCACAATGGTCGTGATCCCCCAAACAGTCATATACCGGTCATTTTACCATCGACAATAATAGTAAATATCGTGTTGTACTCTGAAGGAGAACAACAGGTAGCAAGGTGAAAATAAGCAAAGCTTGTGATCTTTTAGCTGAGGAACCGCTCCTTGAGAGCCTCATATGCTCTTTGCAGATGTTCCCCAGGGTGACTGGAGCAGGGAGAGCAGTGTCATATAGCCACTGCTAGTGGAAATAAGGTATCACCATTCAATAAAATCGGTATCAGTGACAGACAGGGGGCTCTCTCAGTCTGTCAAATTTAATTGAACGATGAAAAAGGAAAACCCAAATGGAACTGCAGTGTCTTTCTGAAAGAGTGCAGGTATACTCCTGAGAACTAATGATACTCACTTCTCCTTTCAATCAGCATCAAAAGCTCTTGCCTCTTTGGGACTAAAAGCAATGCAAGGATAATTTTCCATTCCTTGACAGTTATCAGAAATCTTTTGAGATGGATATTCTCTAGAGCGAGCATTGCAGAGATGATCTCGTTCCTTACCATACAGTTTTTCTCTCTGTTTCCCTTGTGATGTTTGTAACTTGATTTCACCTTGGAAGACCCCTGTTTTCTCACCATGGTGTGTCAGCACTGTATGGATAGGAACTAAGGATTCTGTTGCTTCTATTCGCAGGGCAATGCAGCCTTCCCCTAGAGGATGACAAGGGGACAATGAGGAGCCTGGGACTGAGAAAAAAAAGCACTGAAATCTCTTTCTCGTGTCAGTCATCTATCGCTATGCTGACAGGGCTGAAATTACTGGAGAGAATCTGCTCTGGATGACAGTAAGGAGTGTAATATCTCTTGAGAAATCAGGGGCATTCAATTCACTTCTTCACATATGTGTGAAGAATTTGGGCATTGGAGACACCCATGGGTGACTACAGAGTTCTGAGTTTCCGTTACTGGTAAGGAAAACATGAGCCTGTGACTGCCATTTCAGTTAATGGGATTTCAGCAAAGAGTCTTCTGTGGACGAGGACTGCAATCTCTGGCTGGTTAGAATTTGGAATTGAGCAGCACTGATGGTGACTTTTCTGTAGCCAGGAGAAATGCATCAAGCAAGTGCAAGTGAAACAGGATTTGTATGTTCTGAATAAACCCATTTAAACAGACTGACTCCTAATTTAATTCCTGTAAAGTACTTTCTTTTTAAGCCACCGCTCTTTTAGGGCTGGTAAAGCTCACACAAATTGTTGCTTCTAGTTCATATTCCTCTAATCATCATTACCTCACAAAATATTGCCCACAATGTATTTTTGTATGTATTGAGTTCTAAATCAGAAGCCAGAGCATCATAGATGTTCAGTCTACAAGAGTTACTTCTGTTTTCTCCCACTCTTTCAGCAGTTTGGAAAAATCTAAGGAGTTTTTGACTCATACAGAAATTTAGAGCTAAGCACTTACCATACGATTCATCACTGTCTGATGACTTAATGCTGATCAGGATGTGTTGATCCAGTAGGTATTCTGGGTCTGAAATAATTGGAGTCAGCTGCAAAGACAAGTTAATGTGGGTCAATATAATAGGTGGTCTACCTGAACACATTCCTCAGTCCCAAATGAGCAAAACGCAACTGGACAGACCCATGAGGGTATCATGTAAGTCCCAGGATCAGCCTCTTCAATGATGTTCGGGGATCTGTGGTAGAAAGCTACACACTTGTAGAGTCCCCTCACTCTTGTTCCCAGCACAGCAGACAGAATGCTACAAATCAACACTCACATTGGGCTGAGCTGCAGGTTTTTTTCCTACAGTGCAGACTGAAAATTGCTCTAGGAGGAAGTGATCTGGACTCTGATTACAATCTGTTCCCAAGAATCTTTTTGGCTGTTGTTACAGTCACTTAATGTAGAATCTTTCCCCAGTCTCTCAGTGTAAGGCACTTTTTCCAAAGTCAGGAGTTCTTTTGGGGCTATGCAGAAGAGTACTGACATACATGCATATTTGCTCCAAATCCAAGAGCTCTGATAGTTCTTCCAGCTCCCACCATGCCAGGAAATAGAGAACAGCTCCAATCTCAAGGACAGGACTTGTCTTTGACACTGACACGCAGAACACTACTTCTGGCCATTGATGGTCTTTCTAACACAGGCAAAAAATACTTAGTCAACTTCTCTCAAAAAAACCCCACCAAACCTTTGTCTTGCAAGACAAAGGAACTCCAGCACAGCTGTTTTATCTTCCATCTAAAACTAAAAAACAATGGGCCTGCTTAAAAGACTTGTCAGCATAGTTATGTTCACTGAAAAGGTGAGAAAAAAGTCATGCTCCTGAGTGACATAAATAGGCCAGCAAAATTCCTGATACGGATGGAAGTATACTGGCAAGAAAGTCCTTTCCTGCTTATAACATACACTGTTTAGCCTGAGCCCATCCTGCATTCTTACAGTCCCTTTTGAGTGTAAACAAGACCACATCATGTTTGTGAAAGCAATGTTTATATCAGCAAAAGATGTAAAGTTGCTTATGGGATGCCTGCGGAAAGCTTCTCTTCCGTATGGATATGGAAACGGAAACATAGTCCCAGTTTACCTTTGGAAGAGCATCAACGAACTTTACCACAAGCTCCCCTTCATTCCCATCCTCATTTTCTCCTTCCTGGCTCTTCACAAAACCTGCAAAGTGAAGAGACAGGAGTTCACCAGAAGAGAGACAGCAAGAACTTGGCTACGAATCCTTTTCAGATACTAGATCTCCAAAAGGCCTACGATTCTTTTCCCACTTGGACACAAGTTTTGAAAGTATTAAGAAGCTTGAAGTCTGAGCTTTGGGTTAATGTTTACACAGTAAATTTACAAGTGATTTTACTGGAGCATTGTTAAATGGTTTTATTTTACAGTTAAACTTGGCACTGAAAAGCTCAGTGCCTACATGGACTGGAGGATAAGAACATGACAGCTCTTCCTACGCCACTCAAGATAGCACACTTTTGAAATTCTAATTTAAGATTTGTAATACACCGTTTCCATAGAAATTTATGCAAATTTTGATACAGCCAAAAAATAATCTTTTATGGAACTGTCTTTGACACAGCGCTCTGACATGCGATAATGCGATGAAGCATACACCGAAGGCATGCTGTCCCACTTATGGGAGCAGTCCTGTGATGGGGAATCGCTTAAAAAAACCACAGCAAGGGCATGTAGGCTCATATTACATAAACAGCTGAGGCTCAGCCCTGCAGTACACGGACAAGGAGTAAAATCTGCAGCACTGGTGGGTACACAGTCCCATTTACAGAATCAAATCACTATCTTTCCTCTCACTTTAAGTTGATCCTCTGACTTATTCTTTTTTAAACCAGGGTAATTAAATTATTTTTATTAGCATAATGCAGATGCTTTTATTTTGAAAGCACCTGATCATTTGTAGCAGGCACAATTAGAAATTTAATCAATTATGTTTGCTAAGTAGAGATTTTCTGTGTGATAAGCAAGAAGAACACGTATTTCTCTTCAAGAAAGAAATTATCAGATTGCCAAACAAGATGGAAGAAATGGTGGAAGGCTACATGTCTAAGCATGAACTACAGCTTAATGGCTGTGGGGTTTGGATTGTATTGCTGACAGTATAGGATGATTTGTAAACTACAAGTCTATAGGACATCCCTCTTTTGCACTGGAACAAGTGATCCACACAGCTATTTATTTAGATCAAAGCAAGAGGAAGGGGAACTAATCCAAACAAGCAAGAAACTTTGACAGAAAGAATAAAGATGGGCAAACCCATACTTTCTAAGCAGCTAGAGTGAAACTCGATGTAGAACTTGGTCTGGGACTTGGTCTTCAGAGTAGCATAGCAGTGCAGGAACTCTATCTCTCCTTGGGAATCTGTGTACTTGGAGTCTAGGAAAGAGGAGGGGAAAACAATGGCATTTGCAGCAGAAAATAAAAAGAGGGCATTTCTGAGTGGACTCTAAGAATCAGCTTGTCTTTCAACATATACAAAGCACTGCATTTTGTATCCAAAGGTGAAGACAGCACACTTGCACCCAACCTGACTAACCATTCTTTGAAACAAACTGTGAGGTGACTCCCACTTCAAAGGTGGCAAAGACAGGACTGTGGTCACTTGTCATGATGTCAGTGGTGCAGCCTGCCAACAAGAAAGGGAAGATAGTTACTGCTGTGTGTTCCTGCCTTGCTCCTGTGAGATCGCTGTGACAGAAATAGAAATATTATTCGGTAATTTTCCAGAAAACATAACCGTCGCTGTGGTAACTGTCTCTAATCACAGGTGTTTCTACACAATCTCATGTTAGTATACAGAAATGTAACTCCTTTGTCAAAATACATAAAGATTTGGTTAATGGACGCAACTTTACCATATCATTCTGCAAGCAACTGTCAGTGTTAGATTCCCCCAGCAGAAAAAGCATTGCAGGATTCCTGGTTGCCTCTGCAACATGCACAGCTAATTAAAGCTCTAATATGGCAGGAAGTCACACAAGAATACACTGGTGCTACGTCAGTGCTACAGAGCAACTCGTGGCCCAAAATTAACAGTGAATGAGCAAGGTCTTGACTTGACCTAAGCACACACCGAGTTCCAGCAAGCCCAGTCCATTGGCCAGAATGGTGTATAAAAGCAAATACCAGACTTTCTAGAGGTGTTTATTTGACCACATACCTCATCATCACAGACTCTATGGTCAGATCAGTCCACCTTATCCCCCAAGAGACTTCTACAGTCCTCTTCTCAACCCCATGCATAGGAAACCATCAACATCATACTCAGATGCTTGGTCCTACATATAGTCAATGAAATTTCAGGAACTAGCATGTAAGTCTTTTTTTAAACAGGTCTTGTGGGTTTCCTCTCTTCCCTGCACTGCACTTTTGTGATGCTTCTCAGCAAGAAAGGGAACAGGCTCTTGGTACCACACAGTCCTTCTGGAATATGATTTGATAGAGGAGAGATGTTTGCAGCTCCAGCCTCTGCAGTCTGGACTGTGTACACAGGGTCTGCCCTGCTGGCACCATCAGGTAAGGACCTCCTGGTGGTAACTGCACAGGGAAAGTTGTTGTTGCCAAGAAATAACTGGTGTAAAATGATTCTCGAGCCTGCCTTAAAGGTGGACAGCTACAGCTGTCTGAGTGGTATCCTGGATATAAAAGAGTAACAGAATTAATTCCCAGCCTTGTAAGGTTACAGGCAGAGGGATTTGGCTCCACTCTGCCTGGTTTAACATCAGGTCCCTCTACGCTGAGTGTCTGGCAGTGCAGGGAGATCCTACAGACTCTGCTCTGAATCATTTCCGTTTCAGACTCATTGCTTTGCTATCTACAATCTGTTATCTACCCACCATAGGACTGACACACAACGTGCACCATGGGGTATGATTTCCAAAGCACTCGATCACACCAGGATGGCAAATTGTACTTCATCTGCAAACCAAAGGAGAAGTGATGTCAAGAATAAGAAAGAACCAGTTCAGAAAAGAACAGCCAATTCACTTGTCCAAGGACCGTATATTTGTGTCACATGTTTTTGTCTGTATTGACTCCTTTCAAAACACTACGAGGGCAGAAAATGCAGAGATTGGTTTAGGTCACTTTCTTCTGTAGGAGTTACTTTCCATACTTTGCCATATACTTCTGAAGGGAAATCAGTTTACACTTACCCCTGTAGCTTTTTGCTTGGTGTAAGCATACTTCTCCCGGGTACCTCTTTCAAAACGGTAGGTTGGAGCAAAAGTAATCTCTTCTTCCTCTAAAACAGAGAGATAGCTCTGTTACAGTTTGGCCCACTGAGAACCCTCATCTGGGCAAGACAGGTGCTGCTCTGTACACCCTGCCTCACATCAAGTCTGTCAGAGAAAGTTGCTCGAAATGGGAGAGGAACCTGCCAACAAACGCACAATCTTACCAAATTGCAGAAACACCTTTTGATCCTTTTTCTCTATGAGAAGCTGGTCAAAAGCCAGCAGCTCCGGATACTGCTGCTGCCTGATCTTCTGGATAATATTCTCTGCTTCCTGCCAACAGGGAAACAGAAGAGCTGCAGATGATGCAAAACCTTCTTATAAACACTCCCTTCACTGGTGAGCCAGCAAGTGCTTCTGAACTGTTTCACAGAGCCACACCCACTGCCACTTCCCCCTTTCCCTTCATGGAAAGGCCCCAGTCTTTGCTGTGTGGCTGAACATCTGTCTGTCAAAACAGGCATCAAAATGCCCATACATCCTCTACACAAGCATACACATGCACACTCACAACCAGATGCACATCAACACGAGACTTGCTGTTGTCTCCTGCCTACTGAAACCTACCCAGTATTTATTACGGCTTGCCTGTTTCTGAAGGCCTGTTCTGAGCCATTAAAAACTAACCAAATAAAGCAGAAAGGCAATCTCTGTATCAAGCTGTTCAGGGACAGATGCTTGTTCACAGTGGGAAGGAGAGCTGGGAGGTCTGGGGAAGCAATGCTGCCTGGAGCAGCAAAGTGTGCCAGACAGCATTTCTGGGTCCAAGAATCCTTGGAGAGAGCAAATGGGATTTCTTTACTCTCCCTCAACTGGTGTCACACTCGTGCTCTGGGGGAACCCTTCTGCCTCCCCTGTTTCTGCCATGTTGCCCTAGATTAGAAAAAGATCGCACTTCTACAGCAACACAGTGTTTTTTCTCTCCAGGGATTCACGCAGAGTCTCTAACCGTTGGGGGCTGTTCCACGCGGTAGTTCAAGTCTCCCAGCCAGAAAAGATGAGTAAAGCGATGAGTGATGTTAAACGGACTCAGTTTCTTATCTCCCAGTGTCAGGAAGTGCAGGATGTTTGTGTAGTTCTGGTTGCGTCTGTCAAGACAAGAAACATCAGCCTGACATACTAAATTGCCATGCAATTTCTAAATGCCTGGGCTGGCAGAGACTGCCGCTTTACCAGGCAGGAACCGATCTGGTTCAACATCTAGAGAGGAGCAGATCAGAAGCCGAGAACTTGCCACCCCTGCCTCGCACTGCGCCTCAGCAGACAGGCCCACTTTATGTGCTCAGTGTCTCCCCGTGAGCCAACCTACTGCACGCAACCAGTAACGCAGCACAGCTCTCATGCGGCAGCTTGTATTGTGTGTGGCCTGGGGAGCTGGGGGGCAGAAGGGCAGCCTGCTGTGAGGAGGGGGCAGTGGCATTTACAGCAGCTCCGGGCTGCTCTACCTTGGGTGTCAGACTGTTTCCACCTGAACTGAAAGGCTAGAAAAGCTGTCCTAAAGCCACTTTTGTTGCCTCCTGGGGCTGTGCTTTTCTGAGCTGCATGTCCTAGAAACCCAGCATTAGATTTTTGCCTTCAGATTCCAGCAGCAAACACATAACTAGATTTTGGCAGCTATTCCAGGCCCTGGGGAACCCTTTCATAGAAGTTAACTCCATTAGTGGCAAAGACCCCGTGCAGAAATCCCACACCATCTGTTTTCTGGGTCTTGGACTGGGAAAGATGGCAAAGCCAACCTCTTCATTTCAAGTCCTCTTTGCTTTCAAAACCACTCCTTCCAACTGCTCCAGTTCCTCCCAGCGTGGGCACAGATCACAGAACCTGCCTAGACCATGGAAACTCATTTCACAGCTGGGTATAGAGAATTAGCCACCGTGGAGATATTTCTGTGCTACATGCCTCTCCCTCTTGGTGTTCCTGACAGCATGCTCCGCCTAGCAGGATCTCTCTCAGCTGTGCCCCAGGGTGCACCACAGCTCCCGTGCCCACAGCACTGCCTACAGTGAGGATGCAGACAGTCTCCTTCAGCACGGTATTCTGGGGTGGGAAAAGCCTTCCACATCTCTCCAAAACACTGTAGATCAGGGAACTGTTTTCCTCATATATTGGGCTTGCATGACAGGTCACGCCAGTGTTGTGCAAGACATTTACACTCGGCTCCGAAATAATTTTGCTGTCCATTTCACCTGCACCCATGGCATATGGCCATATAGCAGAAGTCCCTCATTTAAATGGTGACACAGTGAGCAGTGTCTTTAGCACAGGTTGCCCTCCCAGGAGACGTTTAACAATTTTTTATGGTCAGGAAAACATGCTTGTGACTGTCTGGTGGGACCTCCTTCCAAATATGGCCCAGAGAATTTCACCCTGGGTCATCATCCATTTTTGAGAGGGGAGGATGTATCTTACCTGTTTTTCTTTTCACTTCCTGAAGTCAAATGGCTGTTAACAAACCCAAAGGAGGTTCCATTAAACATGAATGACACCCCCACAGCTCCTTTATTACCTGGAAAAAGATGAGCCAAAAACTTCAAGAAATCAATCCACCTCCAGGCTGAGTTTAACAAAGATAATAAAGCACCTAGCACGTCTTAAGTGAAGTGGAGGATGGAGAAGAGAAATAAGTTGACTTAATCATCACAGAAAGAATTAGTACATACAGCACAGATTGTGGTAACAAATTTTCTAAGGATGCTAAAAAAATTAATTGAAGGGAAAGGTAATTTTCTTGTGAAACCCAACAAAGAGCAATCCAATACCCAGTCAAAGGTGTTTGCTGGGAATATGTACATATATATATATACACACACACATATATATATGCACTAAGTACACAAATAGATTTTCTCTCTTACAGGGTAAGATATAATCAGTGCTAGTGAGATATAATTTTAGTACCACTAATGTCACATAACTGTGAGTTGTGGAGAAAGAGCTGTTCCATTTCAAAGACAGTATTGGCACAGGCTGAAGAGATCTCAGTCCTTTGGACAAAACCAGGTCTGTTCCTCACCCAGTGTGTTTGCGATGCCTGTCTTCACATTGTCTGTGCAGATGTGGCTGATGCGATTCTCATGTTCTGGCTTGGCCAGTACAACAATCCTGATGTTCCAGAGGGTATGGATTGCTATCTGCAGGGATGGGAAGGTTAGAGGTTATATTTCTGCACATACCTGTGGAGCTACGGTGGAGCTGCAGCCTTCCTGACTGCTTCTGTAGTACTTCTCCTACACAAATTTTCTTCCTGTGCTCAGGATATGCTTTCAGTCATTTTAATCAAAGGTGGGAGGAAGCTATTTTTTTTAGCTATTTTCTAGTGCTGTTTTCCAGTTAATCTTGGTATTGCTTTGATGCATAAAATACATTTTCCCAGTCACCATGAGAGTTGTAAGTTCTGCTCTCCTCTGGCCTTCCAGATATGCTTAGATTTGTTTCTTGACATCACTGAAATTCAGAAATGTCCAAACATGATCTTAATAAGGTTCAGTTTCTTTTATGATTGTGACTGTGTGCAGCTACACCCTATTTTGAAAGTGCAATAGCCTAGGGTGAGATCTAGGCTACAGCTGTCTCAAAGTTTTACGGTCTCCTCCTTTATGAAGGTCAAAATATCACCACCACTTGATTCAGGTGCTCAGCATCTGCCCCTTGCTCCCAGGCTGGCAGGCAGAGGAGCTTCATGGCAGGGTCCCTGCTTTGGCGGTGGTGGGGTCACTGTCCATAGCCATATGCCCATCTAGCCAGCTCTAGGGGAGGATCTCATGGAGTCCACAGACAGATTCTGTTCACTCTCCCTCATCCAAATGCAATGACAACAAAGGGAAGGGAGGAGGTGTAGGAAAAATGCCACTTATTCCTCGGTCTCCTTTATTTGCACGACATGTACTCTCCTTATAGGCCTGAGTTACGTGCAATAGCTGGAATAACCTCTCACCACTTTGAAGCTGATACTGGTGATTTGCTGCAGGGATTGCCTCAGGGTCTCCAGCCATTCCTTCTCCCCTTGGGGATCCTCCTGGGTGCCAATCACATAGATGTCATGAGGAATGTAGTCAGCAGTGTCATCACGGGTCTTCCCCTGCCCCTTGGAGAGAAACCAGGAGGTGATCTTCTTTGGGGGAGGTGCAGCACCTTTTATTAACAAATCAAACACCAGAGTAAGTCAGAGCACGTTCTGTCAAACCCAAGATACAGACAACCCATGGGGACAGAAATAATAGGCTTCACATTCACTCTGTTCCGTATCAGTTTTATATCAGCCAGGGCACACTATTCTGAGATGACAAAGATGTTTACCCCACCTGACTCACTGATGAAGGAGTGACTGCTTTGACCATCTTCCTCTGTTTCACTAGTTAACCAAGGCCAAGGCTAGCCAAGTGTAAAGGTAGGGAGCTGTACTCCTGGTCTGCCACTGCCTTTACCTTACCCCTTAAGTACGACCAAGCACAGACAGCTCAGCTTACAGCAGCTGAACCAGGCTTTCCTCCTAAAATGGGAAAAATAAGTTAAATTCCACTGTCCTCAACTACACCCTGTCCACTTCTTTAACTATAGGAGATACTCATCTCACTTCCCAGGCTGGACACAAACAGTCCCTGGACAGGTTCAGAAGCAGCTGATGGGCAGTTATTGGAATCGCTCCTGTCCTTTCTGCAAGGTGGAAGATAGCATACACTGCCGCACCAGCTTTGTGCCAGCCACAATTCCCTGTCATTGGAGGAATCCTTCAGTACCCATCAGGGCCAACTTCATGGTCCTTTGACTGGAACCATGAAAAGCGTCAAACTGCATGCAAGAAAAAGCCTAGAGATCAGCTCTTCCTCTGCCCCGGTGGAAGACAACCCTGGTGTACAGATCTGTGTCTGGAGCTCATTATGGCAGGTAAGCACTCATTTTGGTAAGTGTCTGAAGGAACGCCTGTGTCAGAAAGGGGCCCATACCCATATTCCAGGTCCCAATGAAGATGGTGATCATATCAGGCTCTGGTTGCTCTGAGTGTTTGTTCTTCATCTGCTGCAGAAGTTGGCAGAACCCTTCTCTCTTCTAGACATGGGGAAGCAGAGACAATTAACGAGATGCTTAACTCCTCCAGCATGACCTCTTGAAAAACTAGCTGAACCAGGAAATTCCCAGCAGACTTGAAGGGCAGATTAGCTCTCCACTATCCTGAAATCTTCAAGTAGGATGTCTTTCCTGTGATACTTTCTTAGGCACTTGGCTTGTGCATTATTTTAACAAGTGCTGAGCTGGTCAGAAGAAAGCCTAGACGTCCCTCTTGTTTGTCTATATGAACCTTTTTGCAGCTACCCTCACACAACTCCTTGCCTTTTCTCACTGCTTGCTGACACTCTGTTCTCCTGCCTCAGTGACAGCAACCTAGGTTGCCCTCTCCAGTATCTCCTTTTACACAGTACACTTGTCCATTTTCTGGACGTTTCCAGAACAAAGGAGAAATTTCATTTTTGCAAAGCCAACTGCTGTCCTTCAGCAGTTCCCTTTCTTGCCAAGGAATTCCCCTTGTACCATTCCCACCCAGCTACCCACTCCAGACTGGCAGGAAGGAAGCATTGTGTATGTACCTTGGAATCAGAAAAAACATATTCCTTCCGCTGAGTTTTTTCTTTTTCTGTTTCCAGCACAATCACCAGTTTGTTAGGGACCTTCTGGGACTTGATAAGCTGCAGGACTAAACAAAGACTGGGTGTCATGAGCTGCAGTCACTGAAACTAGAATCCCACCAAAACCAACAAGACCCTGCTCACAGGCTCAGGACTTACATAGTCTTTTATGTCTAAGGCTCACTTTGCCCCACATAAATACATGTTAATGTTGCTTAATCCTGTTCCCTACAGGAATAGATTTGGACTCTGGAGAGGACTCCCAAAACTCATTCTGCCTGAAGCTCATGTCCATACCAAGCACTACAGTCCGAAGTGAAGCCTTGGCTTCCTGCAGGCAATCTCTCTGTATCCTGAGCCAGCCTACATATATTCCTTCCCCATCTGTGAAAGAGGAGGTAAAACCTCATTTGGTAGTAAAGGTGATTCCACTCCATCTAAAATAGCACTTAAATAATTATGAACACCAGGTGGAGAAAACCATACATGAAAGATACTCTTTTCAATCACTGCCAGCAACATATTGATTTTCTGTCAGGAGAGAACCCAAGGGCATCATTTTTCACTCTCTGATAAATCCTACCCTGTTCAGCTCAATCTCAGTGAGCTGCCTGTTCAGAAACACAACAGGAAAAAAAGGGAAGTTGTTTGAATTAAGCCTTCACAGACCAAACTGGCATTGCTTATCAGTAGAGATACTGATTCACATATCAAAAAAAAAAACCCAAACCAAAACAAACATCAAGGGGAAATTCACTGAAAAATGTTATTGAAACTGAGTACCTGGCTTTTTACCATCAAAAATCATCACAGAAGTCAGTATGTTCTTGCAGAATGTGGGGTTTTTTTTTCAAGTGACATTGCTTTTCAGTAGAAAATGGGTCTATTGTGACCAGCTTTACAGGGAATCTTCTATCAAAAGCTGCTCCCTTGCAGTCCTGCTACCACTGTCTTCATTTAGAGCAGGAGGCGAGGTCTAAAACAACCAGTGAAAGCTGGTTACCCCGGTATTGACTCCCTGCTCTCTGCAGGCTGCTTTGGGGATAGGCAGTCTAGACTGACTGGAGCCTTGCACAACACCCAGGACCTAGCAGAAATATTTGCACTCTGGGCCAATCCTTGCCCTCAGTAGGGCCAAAGGGAATCCCTCCCCATCACCCAAGGGATCGAGAGTCTAGTCCAGCATTTGTGACCTTAAGCATCTTACTTTTCTTGTGGGTATAAAACTTGTCTTCTGGACCATCCTTAGCCCTCTTGATAATCAGTTTTCCCATTTCCACATCAACCTTGAGATGTATTTTTGAGAAAATTCCTAGGGAGTCAGCTTTCACCTATTGGAAAACAGATTTTTCATAAGTGATCTTCTACACTTCAGTCACGTGTATTACAAATGCAACACTTGCCTGAATTCATGGACACATATCATTATGCCTATCTCACTAGACATCTCTTAAGCATTTGCATGGTGCTAAGCAGCATCCAGGAATAGCTGTTATCTCTGTGCTGTGTGGCAGCACAGCAAATTTCCCAGGAACTGAGATACCAACGTAAATCTGCATTACTCTCCTTCCACATTGTGATCAGCATTGTTAAAGTACATTTACCTCAAAAACAACAGGGGGGATAAGGGAGCGCCGGTGTGTTGAATCAGGACCTTCAACCAACACTGTTTTCACCTGTAAAAGAATTTATGTGTATAAATTGCATTTGGTGATTCTGCACTACATTGAGAGTAATGACGTCAGAGCAAAGAAAACTTACTGTAGCAATGGATTGCACTGATGATGAACAAGAAGCAAAACTAGAGGCAAAAGATGACAAGAAGATAATATAAAATAGCTTTAAAACTCTACCTTTTCTTCAATGGAAGACAGCAAAGAAATCAGCTGATTGAGTTTCAATACAATATTGACTGGACTAGCTTCACTGAGCATCTGATAAACACAACATAGAAACAAAAAGAGAGAGAGACACGTAATTACCAAACCCACAGAGCATGGCCTGGAAGCGCAGCAGTCTTGCCCCGGGAACACCTCGCACACAGAGCAAGGAGCAGCACTTGTGCCTCTGCCACTCTAATCTGTAATGGGCAGCCAGAGAGCACACAGTTTGGCTGAACATGCAGAAGTACAGGAAGGTGGAAGGACAAATTTGCAAACCTTGTCAATAGGTTAGAGGCAGCTGGGCATGCAAGGGAGTCGGCTTGCTGCTGGGACAGGTTTGCATGAAAAAGTCCTGGACTTTTTGTTGTCTGGGCTACTGACAGGGAGAGGAGCATCATGGGACTTAAGTGGGCTAGTGGAAGGAAGGATTTGGCAGTGAAACATCCAGGAGTGACATTTATGGAAAGAGAAATGTGCAGTGCTAGCCCATAGGCTGAGGTAGAATGGGGAGATCAAAGTCCTCAGGCAGTTCACTACACTTTCCCCTGGGGCAGGAAAGGGGAGCAGGCAGAGGGGACTATGGGATAAGTGAAACTGTGGGGATATAACTCACTGTGTGCCCTCTGCACTGCAGCCATAAAGAGGCTAGAGAAAACAGAAGTAGTAACTGATCCAGAACCCTTCCCTCCCCCCATGCTGGCATCCACCCTCACTCCTCTCTCTTCTTTTCCCACCTTCCAGCCAACTTACTTGTGAGCGCTGATGGATACCAGGGTGCAGCTGCTGCTCAAACACCTTCTGGATGGATTCCAGAGATGGGAAGGTCCTAGAGGCTTCACTGGGAACAGAGACATGGCAGAGGTCTAAGGCTGTGGTCGGGTCCTCGGGCAGGTTAGCACTTGGTCTCTTTGGACAAAGCCATGCAGCAGAGACTACGGGCACCCATTCACTCTAGGCCTGCTCTCACCATATGCCATGCTCTTGTCCTCTGCTGCTTACTGCCCTCTGAGTTGGTGGGATGGGTGATGAGAGCACTTCTCAGCTGCCTTAGTGACACTGCCAACGAAGGCAGCTTGGAGTTAGACTGCTGACTTTGCCTTGCAATGGCATGCTGGCTGTTGGAGGCGGTAACTTCCTAAATCTCCCCAGAAAGATGTCCCAGTCTGGCCCAAACCTGAGGACACTGGTAAAACCAGCATCAACCCAACTATGCCAACTCATAGATCAAAGTGCACTCAAAAATCTCAAAGCCCAGTGAAGTTTGGTGCCTATGAATGCCGCAGTGGCAGGAGCAGCTTGGTTTTGCACAGGTCTTGCGCAGCTGCTGAGGCTGATGCAGGATGCTGGGGACACTGCATGAAGAGGAAACTAATTTTTAGATTTTTCAGCTCACATGACAAAGACGGGCTGGGTGCAGTGAGGGGGTGGAAGAGCCAGCCTTTAATCTCTCGAAGGGGAAACCGTCTACACATTACAGTGAGATTCCTTCAGCGTTTCCCAATTAGATTCCACAGGATGCTCATTTGTCAAAATGCTGTTGTATGAATTTGGCACAGAAGCCGCGCTCCAATAATGACAAGACTTATCACAGAAAGAGCAGCCAGGGAACGCAGGTCAAAAGGAAGGTGATGGTGGGGAGCAGTGCTAGGATGCTTGCATTGTGCCTAGTCAACAGTGGATATTAATGATTTCCCTCACTTTCCTAAGTCTGAAAGGACTGGATTTTACTCCCTGTTTGCTGGGGAAAGTGCTGCAAAGTGAAAGTATGCCTGACTGTCTGAAGATTCGATATTTGTCTAGGTGCTGAACCATGGATGATTAATTGCCTAAATTAAGCACTCATGTTTGAAATTTCAGTCTGAAGGACTTGCCATGGGGCACACAGAATTACAAGACGCTTGTAGGAATCTGGATCTGCTAAACTTAGTCCTCCAACACCACTATTTAGCTTTGAATCACGTAGGGCCAGTGCCACTGCAAATGGCTCTGGCCCCAAACCCAAGACTCCTGTTGATTCCTGCAGGCACAGAGTCAGACTCCAGGAGGATGCAGGCAGTTGCAGAAGCATTGGGTGAAGTTCAGTTTGAAAAGAATGAAGGATATTTACCGTGACCAAGAGTGCAGGACATGTAGGCCACCTCTCGAAAACACAGAGCAGCAGCTGCTTGAAGTAGTTCAGAAATTATTTCTCATGGGAAAACTGCCCTCTGTTTACTGTACAGTGCAACGTGTGGCATGCGTGTGAGGATGGGGGAAGAGCATCTGAAGGCATTCAAACTCAACAAAACCACAAAGTGGTTTTAATTGCACTTACTTTTGTTTTCTTCTCTTGATAGTATAAAACAAATATATGTAGTGATCTTCATTGAGGTGTCAGAAGCCTGTGTGTCTACATACAATTGCACAAGTGCTGTATCACAAGTGCTTGAAAAGCTGCCTTAAAAGCTGTATGTGCAAATTGTCCAGTAAGGGAGAATAAACAGGAGCATGCAGAGCAGTGATCGATGACCAAATGATGGCTTCAGACAGTAGCAGGCTGAATAAGCCACTATTAGTGTTTTTCACTTAAAGCTGGTAGGAAACTCTGAACAAAGTCCACTTGCATGGGTAGTTGCTGCTCTTTGCTGCACTGGCACCAAGCTCTCCATGAGTCAGCTTTCCAGCACCGGGAGGATTCCTCTGGCTAAGAGAACCCTTGTATGCCAATTTCTTTTAGCATTGAATGCTTCACAAAAGTACCCATCAGCCTTACAAGTCTCTGTTTCTCATTTTTAGTACAAGAGCTGCCAGAGTGAACAGCCTCTCCCAGGAGCGGTTGTCCCATTGTCCCCCAGGCTCTGATAAGATGATGTGCCATGGCTGTCCTGACCCCATTGGCACAGCTAGCCCTAGAAGGTAGTAGCAGCTTCCAGCGGAGTTAAAACCAGCTTTCAATGTCTGAAATACACATAGGGGTCTGGTCCTTGATGAATTAATCAGGGATCAGTGGTGGGGAGGGCAAGAGAAAGAGTTCACAAGCTCTGCACTCCTGGTCTGCTGTGGCCCAGCTATGCTTGAGCTCCTTGGTCAGAAATGGGTCCTGCACCTGTCCGTGGATAATACACAAACTGCAAAAGGCACAGACTTTAACAAACAGTTGGCCCAGCTCCTCTCCCAATCCCATCAGCCCTTCTCCTAATCAGTGAGCACCTCCAGTATACATCCCCTCTACCTTGCTAACATTGGCAGTCAGTGCTTACCCACAGCCTGGTATCAAAACACAGAAGTGAGTCAACCAAAGGGCATCAGGATGCTCATTTTTCACAGTGACAGTAGTGTGTCTGAGAGTGACCCTGAAAGATGGCACAGCTGGGCTCTGGGAGGCTGGAAGAAGCCAGAATACAGCATCACGAAAACTTCAGATTCACAGCAAATCAATGCGGCTCACAAACAGCCAGGGTCAGCTCAGCCACGTGAGTGTCTGCCTGCACACTCTTAACCCTCAGCAGTGCCAGGAAATTCAAAGGAGCTTCAGCTTCAGTGAAAGAGCTCAGGCCATGCCAATTAACATTTCTTCTTGTTTATTTGTTTTGTTAACCTATTCTCAAATATTGTGAAAATAATGAAATTGAACATTATGAAGAAAAAGAGGACACAGCTACTGAGAAGCAGCCTAGGAATTACCTGTATATTGAGCTGGAACCCCTGCATAGTGGACAGTGGAATAAAGATGAGGTAAATCAAAACTAAATTTAGGTAATGCCACTGATTAAATTTGAGTTCAGAAATCTGATAAGGGAAGTAAGCTAAAACCCCAGACAACCTCGGAGATTAAGACTGCAGAAAACAATAAGATACCCAAGCATCCATTAGCCAGCTGAAGCTAAACAAATACTTTGGTTGGATAGCAGAGATTCATGGGACAATCCACATAGAGGAGGAGAGGTTCCTCAGAGAGATCTGACTGGGACTGAAAACAGCGTGCAGTTCTGGACCTCCACCAAAAAAAAAAAAAGAAAAAAAAAAAAAAGAAAGCAGCTCCATCTAACTGAAATAATGTGCAGGTATGGCAAAAAAATGCTGGGGAAGGCAGGGAAAACTGCATGAGGACATACATTTCCATAGCTGCATGCAGCCGCCAGAAGGACAGAGGGCAGCCAGCTTGCCCTTTGCTGTGGTGCAGTGCCCCTGTGCTCAACAGGCTTCCACCAGCAGAAGAACTCACCCAGCTCTGTTCTAGGATGATGCTTTGCAAAGTCTAGTCAACAAAAAAACCTGCAGAAAATCTGGAAACGTAAAAGGTATGCTGGCACTTGAGAGGCTTGTGGCCCTGTTGCATCTCCTTTCTTGCCATCCCATGTACATTTATGAGGAGTAGGGTTGTGAAACCCAGATAAGGTGAAGTGGAATAAGAAATTGGAAATGGAAAAAGCCAGCCATCATCAGAACAGCATTACTGGAGGTATTTTAGTAGCACAAAACTCTCACTTGTTATTTCATTAGATTTTAAGTTTCCATTGTTCAGGTTTATTCTTAGCTAGCCACCTGTGTCTCCCCCTCTGTGGGCGTAGAGAAGCAAAACCCTCAAGCAGGGCGCAGCAGAAGGGCAGCTCTTTGCACAACTTGTCCTCAGTCCTGCCAGGGGCTTGTCTCTGGGAGGCTGGCTTCTGGCAGAAGGAGCAGGACTGCATATTCGTCCCCCTTTGCCTGGTAAAACACGCACAGTGCTCACCACTTCAGAGGAGTAATTGTGGTCCCAAGCAGCCGAGCACCTCACTCACTCCCTGCCTTCCTTCCATGGGTTAAAGCCAAGCAAATCAGCAGTATCCATCCCTCACTTTAGCCCTTTCTTCAGCCTCAGTGAGTTCTGGGAGAACAAGATCAGACCAGTAGCACTATCAGCCTCACTTCTAAATACACTGGAGAAAAGGATATTGCAAGCCACAGATACAAGTGTGGAAGAATGTCCCCTCTGCCATAGAGTGCTCTAAGATCTCTGGAGAAGTGTGGACTAATCTCCCCATTTGCTTACAAGCAGCAAGAGGGGAAATCACATCCTTCAGCAGAGAAAGAGGGAGCTCTGCAAAGTTTTAGTTCCCTATCACAGTTTTCCTATTTGGGACCTGGAAGTCCTATAAACAGAAGAGGTAAAATTTGTAGAGTTCAGGCTCATTTCTCTTTTCATTTGAGCTGGACTTCACTGACATCAGTGGAATCACTCCAGGATTAGCAGGAAGGAAAAATCAGTGTTTAAAACATAGTTATACACCAATATGTGCTTGTTTCTATAAACGACATGTGCTTGACAATTCTGTGGGTGTCATTTATGCATTACCAAATTATGCAGTTAATAGGTTAGTGCATTTTTTTTTTGTTTCTTTCTAAACAAAGCATAAAAAAATAATACTCCACTGACTGAAACCGCCTACAGTCAGAGCTGTAGTCTTTTATATAGATTTCACATCTTTGGACCAGAATCACAGGTCATGAGATATAAATATAATATTTTTGAGGGTAAGCCAATTTCCTATGTCAGAAATGCAGGTTCTGAATGCATGCACGTGGATCCTACATTAGACTACAGCGTTACAGCATTATGCTCTGATCTCTGAAAACCAGCTTATAGTTACCTGAAAAGTCCTTTGCAAAGAACTGTAAGTAGTTTCTTCAGTTGAGGAAGATTGCTTGAGCCAGTCTGCACCATCTCAAAGTCACTGATGATGTGAACTCGCAGGTAATCCTGGATGAGTTTAAGATGCTCGTCGGAGACACTGTGAAAGAAACAGACAGGTCAAAAGCCAGCTCTTCTCTCTGCAACCGATTATCAGACAGCTTTATTATTTTTCTGGAACTTCCACTGCCAGCACAGATAGATGGGGGGCAGTTTGCCTTGGATTTCAGTGTAAATATGCAGTTCTCAGAATTGGACCATGGATCCCCCACCACACTGCTGACACCTTCTTCTCTTCCTCCTTCCCCACCCCAAATCCTCTCCTCCTTGACTGCTGAGCTGCCATACCAGGGGAAGTGTTGTGATGCCTGGCTTTGCCAAAGCCATGGTGGGATTGTTAGCCTTGGCAGGTAAAGCCAGCCTGCTGTGAGGTTGTTAATAGTCAGCAGTCCAGGGTCTCTGGGGAGATGAAGCATCCCTTTCATCTCACCAAGTCTCACTTTGAAGGTTTTATTCCAAAGAATCAAAAACAGTCTTAGGGGGCTGAGACCACAGAGCTCTATGGGATGCTTCCCTTCTCCCTGTCTCAGTGGTGCCTGGACTCCAGCACCACAAGGAAGGATGAACCAGGCAGACTTTATGTGCTGTTTTGTGCCCTGACAAATGCAGAAAAATCCCCATCTGGCTGCTTAGCAGATGAAATGGTGCAAGCAGCTGATCAAAACTTGGTGTCTCCCAGTCAGCCAGCTGCTACCGGGCCACCACAGCAGGACCTACGCTGCCACGCATGACCACTGTTTGTTCCCAGCCTCCCATTGCCCTGACAGGAAGCATGCCTTCTGATTTTTTTTTTTTTTTAAACTTTGCAGATCTGGTCACTAAATGTCATGCAGCTTCCTCTAAGGCTGCAGTGCATGTCCAGATTTGACACAGCTAGCATGTGGGACAACATAAGTCAGAGCGGTAACTGAAGTAAATCAGTAAGTATGAGTAACCTGGAAATCCACACACAAGTTTATTCTGTTTGAGGACTGGCTGGTGTTTTCTGATAGAATCATCTGCAGTTTAGGCACATAGCTAATACACCAAGTTCTCTCAGATATTACCATCCTTTATATTAGAAAACTATACCTCAGTGGAGAAAGTCTGTTGGAGATTTTAATACTTCAGAAAAGTATTCTTTTCTAGATGACAATTGGACTATAAAAAGTAGCCAACGCACTGTAAATATGATTCTGTTCTTCGTTTGGTAGTATAAATTAAGAGTAGTTTCACTGAATCAAACAGGTCCTCAGCTGTCCCAGGGAGGCCTAGAAAGTACAGAACTGGGCTGACGGCTGATTCTGCAGCCCTGTGACTTGCCATCCTCACCTGCTTGTGTCCTGGTACTGCAGTCGCTGGAGTAGTGTCTCAGAAAGGGACAGTTTATTAACATCTGCCACCCTGAAGTTTTCAGGGAGAAAAGGTATCTCCTTTGTCTCGCTGCTCGGCAATGCCATGAGGATGTTGCGTGGGGGCAGGATAGGAGGCGTGGGTACCAGGTCTGGCAAGGAGAAATGGAAAGGCACAGTCATCTCAGCATGGCAATTTGACCTCCTCCCCCTCACCCACCCACAGGGCAGAGTCTGCACCGCAGTGGCAGTCACTGCAGAAACCATCCCTTGTGAAAGGCCTCTAATTTCAGAGCTGGAAAGCTCAGAGCTTGGTACTGGCCCAGCCCTGTTCTCAGGGATGTCAGTGGTGTGAGACCAGTGGGCTGAGCTGCCATGCTTGGACGTCATGTGCAGGCAGCATATGCCTCTGCCTGGCAGTGTAACCTCATCTGAGTCGGTTTGACTGTCCCGTCTGCATAGCAGCTATGAAGGTTAATTAGTTACTTTGAATACAATGCTTAGAGAATGTAGCTGTACCTCATCCATAGCATTACCATTATCATGGAGATCTGCTACTGGGGCAGAATGGATGGAGGGGCATGATGGAAAGAAGTAAACAGCTAAAGTAAGCAAACATAGATGGAGAAAATAGACCCCATAATCCAATACAGAGGGGCTGAGTATCCTGGTTTGTGTTGTGGGCATCAAGTTGGAAGCACAAAGGGTTTTTCTGCTCTGTCATCCTGCTGCTCAGCATACCTCTCTCTCCTGGGAGAAGAGTTTGTTCGTCTCTATTTATCCCAACTATGGTGGCCTTTCTTTTTGTAACTATTGCTCCAACACTTTCTTACACCTGTCATACATAGCTGGTTGAGTTGTGAGGTTTTGTTTGGTTATTTTCTAATGGTGGAATTTTCATTACAAAAAGATACCCACAACTCCCTGACAGCAGCTGTCATTCACAGAATCACCGCAGCACTGAGCAACAGCACAGTTGGGTGGTGCATCTGCAGGGTGTCTGGGTGCTCATCTTCCACCTCTGCAATTCTTCATGCAAGATGGCCAGACATCCATAGGCCCTACATGGCTCCAGCACAACGGCACAAAAGTGCCTTAAATTAAATTCTGTATGTGAAGAGCCCAGCCACAGTGCTAATGTCACTTCATCTAAAGGCTCTTAGTCTTGGCTAGAGCTTCATTCCCTGCTGCTCTCCTCTCTGTATATTATTTTTGCTGTAGTTCCCTCCCCCGCCCTGAGAGCTGGATACTCAGTGCAGCTGGCCAAAAACCAGGAACATCTTTTGTGAGCATCTTTGCAAAATTTTGTTCTGTTACTTCGTGAGAACGGCATACCAAAATCTTCCAGCTCCTATTAGAGATCCATTGGATTGCATAAATGTATACAGGCACATCAATCTGCTTTAGTGCACATGCCTGTCTCTCTGTCACAGGACTATGAACTTCAGACAAGTTTTATTGTAATGCTCATTATTTCTGGACAGATGTCAGAAAGAACAGGAAGGATGGCTCTGTGGGCATGACCTTCCCCTGGGATTCAGGAGAACAATGACAGATCCAAGGGATGATCCAGGAAAAATCCAGGGAATGATCAAATACCAGTGAGTGTCAGGAACCCACAGTGACATTTCATGTAAAATAGTTGGGATGGTGCCAGTCACATCTCTTCATCATACATCTGCCTCTATGCATAGAGTTAGACTGTCTGCCACTGCAGGATCTGTGCCCTCTGGTTATGACTGTCAGAAACGTCCTCTAGATCAGAGCAGATAAGGGAGCCTGAGCTTCAGATGACCAACAGCAACTGCAGATGTGTGGTACTGCAGAGAGATGGGCTCCAAGTCTCTAAGGGAGGATCTCTGCTGCCGAGACGTGGCCCTAGAGATGCAACACAGGGAGAGGAGTGCAGCGACATGTGAGATGGCTGGACATAAACCAGCCTGAGTCCAGATAAGGACAACAGATTAGTCAGCCTGCCCTTGATAGAATATACTTCTGCAGAGAGTCTCAATGTATCCCCTCAGGTGAGCTGAAATGGTGCTCCAGATGCAGCACCACCTCAGAGCCATGAGGATTTACTGTCTCAGTGTCTTGCCAGCTCAGGGTATCTATTCCCTGCTCCATTTTATTGCATGACATGCTCCTGCCTAGACTGCATATCTCCAGTCCAGAGTTAAATGTCAAGGGTCTGCATCACCAAGTCACATCATGGGTTTCTTACCAGCATCCTCCTCTGGTTCATCTGCAGCCTCCTCCTCTTCCCGCGGCACTGGATATTTGAGGTGCCATACCAGACCCATGTTCTCCTTCTTGTAAAATTCTATAAGTTCCTCCAAGTTCTCGAAATACTTCACGGGAACACCCTCTGATGCCTGAAACAAAATACAGAGGCTGTCATGGTCTGGGATTTCCTACCACAGAAAGACTGTTTTTCCCTCCGTGAGAAGCAAAGTCATAGAGAGAGAAAAAAAACACTACTGCTGTCCAGAGAAAGCCAGCCCAGCTCTCACTGCCCATCTGACCACAGGTTCTGTGCAGAATGACTCCTGCAGTACAAACAGAAACAGATGCACATACACATTCCAGCCAGTGTCAGCAAAAACGGCAACCTCAAAGATTCACTGAAGCCAAATGGAAGATATTTCTCATTTAATTCAGTGTGTTTGGCTTCAAGGCAAAGGAAGACTTTAAAAACAAAGAATTCTCTTGAATTAATTTACCATTCCCTCTTCTACTGAGCACAAAACCCCTGGACTATGTTATATTTTGTGGTATCAAGGAAGAATTTTTCTGTGAAATTGCAAGGTACACATGTCTAAATCTAGACGTTAGCATCCTTTCTGGGATTCAAAGGCTCAGAACTAGGTTCAAACAAAACAATCTAGCAAGGCACTGCCATGTAAAAAAATGCTCAGATGAAGACTTAGGAAGCTGAAGGGACAGCTAGGACTGTAAAAGCATCAGGCATAACACCGAGCTTGCCAGCTGAATTTTAACTGTGACTAAACCTGTTTCTAGCACAGCCTTGGTCACTAATCTCAGGAAATGGATACTTCCAGAGGGCATACACAGGGATAACATTTTAGAGGTCTTCAGAGGCAGAGCTTCAGAGCAATTATACCTACACATCAGCATGACCAGTAAATCTGCTGGATTCACCAGGCAGGAACAGCTGCCACCTCTGCAGCTCTTCCCCGCTGCTTCAACCAACAGCCGTACCAGGGACAGAGAAATGATTTGTCATAGCTTAGCACAGACCTCCTGACCAAAAGAAAGAGCTCTGCATTACATCCAGAAATGCACTTAAGTACTATCCAAAACCAAAGCAACAGCAACATGTTAGAGAAGCTTCACAAGGGGTGCTCTTTCTAGAAGAGTGCTCTCTTTCTGGACAAGAAGTTTTCCTAGAGAAACCAATCCAAGAAGGCCCTGTCTACACATGCAGCAAAACATCAAGGAGCAGGGGCAGAACCATGCAGAACAGATGTTTTCCAGCCCCACAAGACTGTTGTTCTTGACTTAAAAGAGCAACATTTGGAACTGTTCACATCTGGGGATTCAGCAGCAGTGGGCAATCAAAAGTAAGACCTGGTCACTCTAATGGTAGGCTTGACTCACACTATTTCACATGCATAAAGCTAGATTTTGTACAGGAAACACAGTTAGTCAATAACAAATTAAAGCTTTGCCTCCTATTTGAAATAACTTGTTACAGCTACACTTCAGACATTCTGCCTCTGACTAACAGGCAGGGCATTTAAATTTCTTTTTTGGATTGCAATTATTGGCTGTAAAAATTAACACACAAAAAAAAAATGTAATACAAGTTTGATACCTGCCATTTGTCTTTGCCCAGTTTCTTATTATCTGTGAACTATTTTGTTTAAAAGACAAATGTAGCAAAACCAAGAGATTAAACAAGAGAAATGCTAGCATAAACCACAGTGAGAAGAACACAGAAAAATGTCTTCAGTTCTAGTAACAACAAGATTTCTTTTTAATTTTCCTAAAAAATAAAATCTCAGGCCAAAAATTAGGACAGTGCTTTCAATACTGAACCACATTTGAAGCCTTCAGTGCCCTCAGGCCTGCCATCAAAAATACCTTTAATTTTTAACTAGACCTGCATGTCTTTAAAGGCACAGCAAGACACATTTTCATAACAACTATGTACGATGTTTCTGAGAGCTCTGCCTGTACAGCCTCTTCTTCTGTCTCCCAAGTGTTCCTGCATTTACCAAGATTTATTATTCTCATACACTGGAAAACGCTGTGTTCAGCACGAAAGTGGTGCTTGGGCAAACACTGGATAATATTTTTGTGAGGCCAGAGGTGTTGAAACAGATCGCTGGTTAAAACTTCACAGGACTGTAACAGCATAGGCCAGATCCTGCTCTGCTAGAGCAGCACAAACTCAGAATATCAGAATGACTTCTGTTTTACATCAATTAATGCAAATAGCATCTTGGTCCTCCCAGACTCTTCTGCTTCTTGATGCCAACTGTGAAGGCTAGGAATCAGGAGAAACCATCAAGGAAAAAAAATCGCTCGGCTCTAATCCATCATATGAAAGGATCCTGAAGTCACAGTGCTGCATCAGGACAAACCTGGAATAGTTCAGCCACCTGCTTCCATGTTTCTCAGTTCATCTTCCCTGCAGTACCTTCCTCTGCTCTGAAATCCCCATTTTTATGACTATGCAGCTGTGACCAGCAGTCCTCCTGGCAGCCCAGAGTGCACTGTTAGCAGCGCTGACTGCAGGACGGCAGCATGTTCAGCCTTCATGCCCAGCCCATGGCAGTGTTCATCTTCCGGAATTAATCTGCCCGGACTGCCGTCTGCCCACCACCTACAGCACCCATAGATGCGCTGGAGCTCATGAGAGATAAGGCTTGTGATGGTTTGCTTTGCCCTAAGCTACCCCAAAGGGCAACTGAAAAAAGGCATCAGCCCTATCAGGGTGCACAGTCAGACCCTAAAACACATTGAGGCTAAACAGGATGGTCAGGGTTTGCTATCTGCATCTTTGTAGGACGAAAGCTTTGCCATCAGTGCTCTCTCCCACCTCTTAAAATACTGCAGCCTACCCTGCTCCTCCTCTTTCCAAAGTCGTCTTCACACTCCTACCTGCTTCACTTGCCAAAGACCTTACTGTCTGCCCGCTTCCCCAGAACCCCCTGACTGATGACTGTACCGCAACGCCCATTCCACCCCCGCACAGCACCCCTCCCATCCCCAGTGCCCAAACACTGTCTTCTCAGCCTTGTTTTGCCTCTCAGCTTCTGCTCTCCCCCAGGGCGCCTGCAAGAAGACTGATTGCCCTGCACAGCTCTTTTAAGGCCAAATGAAGCCTTGATGTAAGTGGGAGGAAAGGCTGAATTAGCACTTTTTGCTGCCAAGGATAGTTCAGTCTCTGAAACCATGCTGGTCTCTGTGGTAACCAGAAGCAGCAGCATTTTGTAACAGGCCTCCTTCCTCTAACTCGTTGCACCGCATTTCAAAAGTGGACTGAAGCCTGTGGTCCAGCTCAAATTCTCTGGAGTGGCCACAAGCCCCAGCTCACATGTAGGCTAACGAGATGCACGTGCAGAGAGGCCCCATCATTTATGCACCCCTTCCACCATGGTAGCTCAGCCGGCTGGTCAGACAGCCAGCCAATCACCTCCAGCCACCTTTCTTGATGAGCCCTGCTATCTCCTCTCTCCGGGATAACTGGGATTTGTGGCCATGTGGAAGAGTTGGTCTTTGCATGCATCTGAATCCAGCTGCTCATTCCCAAAGAGAGGCAGTCTCTACCCCGGCGGTGCCAGCTCCTCCAAAAGCCCACCTTCCCCAAGTCCATTCAGGATAAAAAGGACCAACTCCCCATGGCACACAGTAAAAATAAAGGAC